GCCAACACAACGTATATATTGTTGTAATATTTGAAGTTGAATTTCAAAAACCTTTGTTTGACGTAAGCATTGCAGTTTGAAAATAAGGGGATCAAAATTTCATCCAGAACTCCAAGAGTCATTAACAATTTGGAGAAAAAGGGAGCAATATAAAACTGAAAAACAGAAAAGACAATAAAAAAACTGAAAAAGGAAAAGATGAGACGAATAAAAAAAAAACAAGTAATAACGGCCATTAGGGCAGTCATGCAACATCACAAGTAGCCCCCCCGTTGCTCCCAGCATTTTGAGCCGCGCCTGTAGTGAGGCGAGCTATCTCAGTTGTTTGAGCTTCAGCTGGTAGGCCTGACCTTCTGGTGACTTGAGAGGCTTGAGTTTCAGATGGACGAGTTTGATCAGTGGATTGAGGTTCAGATGTAGATTGATTGTTGGGTTGAGGTTCAGCTGGAGGAGATTGATTGTTGGGTTGAGGTTCAGATGGACGAGTTTGATTGGTGGTTTGAGTTTCAGATGGACGAGTTTGATCGGTGGTTTGAGGTTCAGATGGACGAGTTTGATTGGTGGTTTGAGTTTCAGATGGACGAGATTGATCGGTGGTTTGAGGTTCGGATGGACCAACACACAAACCGGCCCGTAGTGAAGTGCACTACGGCCTTGACTACGGTACGATGAGGTTTAATATCGAAACATCACCGTAACCGTAGTGTAGTCCACATTATTACTAGCTCGAACCAGTGACTAAGGTACGGTCAGGCCGTAGCAGACCGTACCGTAGTCGCCGTAGTGACCGTATTCTACGGTTGACTACGACCAAAAAACCGAAAAAAACAAAAAATATTAATCATATGAGAAAACAAAACGATAAAGGAAATAAAAAGATACATATTCAATTAAAATGTTTGTATCTAGGTCATCAATTTGGAAAGAGGAAGAAATAATGAAAAGAACAGCGCATGAAAATTAAATCGATCCTTAAATCGATGGTGGAAGTACAAGAAAATGAAAAAAGAACCATATAACTCAAATCTCCTTATTCTTTTTCTTCCCTTCTCGCAACTCATGGTCCAAAAGATAAGTCACTGCATCCTGAAATTTGCCCGAGGGTACCTCCTTATTCTTCAACCACTCTCGGCAACCAACAGCCTGTGAGATTGTCGAAGGTTTCATCGATCCTTGGCTTGAGACAGCAATGTCGGCAGCCGAGGAAAATGTTCGCTCAACTGCGCACGACGTGGCAGGGAGAGCTAGGTCATCCCGAGCCATAGTGGCCAAGACCGGGAAATTCTGTGCGTTTGCCTAGGTAACATGTTTTGATATCAGTAAAGGAGAAGATGATGATAAAGTGGAAAATGGTACTTAGTGCCCACCAGTCAAGAGTACTGGTACCTTTGCCAATTGGATGGGCACCCTCAAGATAGCGTTTGAGTTCGAGTTGTAAGTCTTGAGAAGCTTCAGTTGCTGGGGCAGCTGGAAACATGTTGTCCTCGTCATCGTCACTAACATCAGGTTGGCTTACCAAAACCACCTCAACAGAAGGTGCCCGTGGTTTGGGCATCCGGTTGGAATACTGATGAAAAAAAGTCTCTAAAGATGTTTGCGCCTGATATTCCAACTCGGGGTAAAATTTTGTAATATAATTCATACGATGTCGTGGATTGAGAATTGTTGCCAGCTGGACAACCTCAGTTTGAGCAGCCTCTTCCGCATATTGCTTGAGATACTTGAGCATTTCTGTTATCATCTCGTCGAGGCTGGGATAGTTGCTGCTCTGTTGAAGTACCTGCAATTCAGCTTGTACCTTACGATATTCGGAGAGAACTTTGCATCCGGAGGCAAAGTCTCCTTCCATCCTTTTCGTGGCACGCTCAAATACCTAGAAGAAGTGTAGATAAATCATAAGAGCCCACTGGTGCAAAGACTTAGAGATATGAAAAGAACTGACCTCAAGAACTTTGTTTACCTCACGCACTGCATTCCACTCATCTTCTGAAATAGTTAATCCACGGAAGAATCGGTTGGTTTTGGAATCGGTGTGTAACATTCCATTTATGATCTCTTTCCAAAAAATGAGATGTGTAAGAGAAACCTCCACAGATAAACTATCTATGAGTGGAAATTGATTGAAATACCTCATGCCCAGCCGCTGCACGCCTTCGGCTATCAGCCTTCGCATTCCAACGGACACCCCATCCATGGATTATGCTCTTGAGGCCGTGGGCTTTTGCCCGCGAGTTAAACCACTGTCGGCGTGATGAGCTTGAACATATTAATGTGACGACCTTATCGCACTGCAGAGTAGAATAGCAAGTCAGCTTGAATTTGTAAAGTGGTGTTTGAAAACAATATCACATGCTGACCTTCAACAAAGCACGTTTAACCAGCTCGGTTGTGTCGCCTGGTTCCTGAGGTGATGAATCGTCATCTTCACAATCATGATCGGTTGTTGTTGGTACTAAACCCGCATCATCCTCATCCGAAGATGAGGGTACATCAAGATCTTCATCACCGGTGTTGAGGACAAGGGTGGGAACTGGCACACTAGCTCCTGGTCGAGTCGATGGCTTGACATGACCAGCTGCAATATTCATTGTCTTCAGTCCATGCTTGACCACGAGCGCCAGCTTATGGCAGTAGCATCGGACGTGATTTCCTGAAGAGTTCCAAAAAATTGGATCATCGGCGGTCTTGAACATGTTCTCAAGTTCATCGGCCATAGTCTTATTATTGGAACCTGAGTCGGTGGTTTGTGCCAATACCTAGATGCAAGATTAAAGATTTAGAAAGAGTTAAGATGAAAGATCGAATGAAAATGAATTTAAAAATATGAAAAAAGGAATCTTACTTTACTGTGTAGGCCGTGTTTGATCAAAAACTTTCCAACCGGTCTGGCTAGCAAAGCACCACAGTGGTGCCAAGTTGCCAATTTCAAAGTCAGATGGCTAGATTGATACTTCCAATCTGAATCGATCCATGTGGCAGTGACACCAATAAATGCTAATCGATTCCCTTTCGTTGTCCATCCATCATGCACAAGACATATCTTACTGGTGTTATTCTAAAGGTATAAAACAGCAGAACGATGATTAATTAGATGAAGGTAGTGAAAACCAAAAGGGAGATGTGACAAACCTTGATCTTGCTGATTAACCCGTCATATAAAGAACTGTATAGTTCATTCGCGGTAGTGGCCGCCCAAGTTGGGCTCCTGAGGTCGGCCTTGGGATGGGTGAGATGAAAGGCTGCCCTGAGCGTTGGGTCTCGAAACCGAACCCATGGAAGGGCATGTCTTAAGAGCCATATGACCAATAAGACATTGAGTATATCGACGTTGAACGGAGGTCGGTTTACAAAGCCTTTCATCAATGCAGCTGATGATGACTCGGTCGACGTGGTCTTCTTGTTTCGTTCTTGATAGGTAGGAGGAAGTCCATGGTCTTTCTCCTTCATCGCAATGCTACGTCCCACACATGGAATTCGGTTCTTGTCGCCGTCGCGATGGCCATAGAGGTTGCTATTTCCATCTACACCCCGTGCAAATGTCTCGGGACAATACTTGCACTCGTATCCACGCAAAACCCCTACCGGCTGTTATAAAGTAATCGGTCAGTTGAATCCACACTAACTTAATCATAAAGAAAAGATTGAAACAAACTCACATCATCCGGGAGTTGGACTGGTTGGGGTTTATAATACGTCAAGAGATGTGTCACTCTTTTACTTTGAGTTCGGAATGCCTTGACGGGAGCCGCGGTGGGGCTCACTTGATCAACATCGATACCGGTAGGTACTGTAAAGTCCTGAGAAGAAGCCAAGAAATTACAAAAATGAAACAACATAAGGTGAAAAGACATAGTTCTAGTTAGAATACTTACAGTTACTGTTGATCGGGTACCTTTAGCTTTAGCTTTGGCAGCGGTAGTAGTAGTCTTGCGAGTCTTCTTTGCTGGCTGAGGTTGGACTTCAGAGTCTGCGGTGCGCTTCTTTGGTCGAGGGGCTGAAGGTCGTGTTGGGGTATGAGGTGGTGGAAGTTCTCCGGCTTCAGACTCTATCACTTCTTCTCCTGGATCATCTTCGCTTGCTTCTTCTTCATCAGGTACATATAGCGACCTCTGAGAGTCGGCCGAAGTGGGAACAAAACCAGGTTCATGACGAGCTGGGCTAACACGAGAAGAGCGACGAGATCGAAGGGAAGATTGAGTGGGTTGGGGACTCTTAGGAGCAGATAATAAAGAGAACATTGTGTCAGCCTCAAGGCTTAAAATTCAGAAAGGGAAGTAAGATGAAAATATAACAGATAAAAGGAAGGGATGAAGGGAATAAAGCACGAAGGAAGAGGAAACGAAGGAGGAGAAAACAAAGGAAGAGGAAATAAAAAAAGACAAAGACAAAACGAACTAACCCAAGACAATGAATCCCTTGCTTTCCTTTTAATTCTATCCCTTGCTCGTAAGGATCTCGATTGGGATCGATAAGGACAGAAGCGTCTGATGCTTACCATACTGGGAATCCAAAACTTGAGGGTGAGGATACCGTAGTGATCGCAATTCACTACGAACTACGGTGGTATGCACTCCGATTACGGTGACAGCGGTACGGTACCCACCCCCATATTCCTGGGGGTTTACCCCACTACGGTACAGTATGACCGTAGCGGGTCAAACCGCAGCCTACGGTGTCTAGACCGTACCGCACCGCACCGTAGGCCGTTTTTCCCGGCGGTTCGGTTTGTGTGTTGGATGGACGTGGTTGATTGGTGGTTTGAGGTTCAGATGGAGGAGTTTGGCCTTGAACGTCCCTCAAGAGTATAAACTTACCCTCATTCAAATCTTTGAGCCAGTGACGACGAGCCTTGGCATTCATGGCTGTGAAGCCTAAATTGAATTCTTCGATTGACATGGCAGAATTGGCGGCACGTTCAACCTTCAGTTTCCGATCTTTGAGGCAAGCAATTGGATTGGCTGTGCAAGGGAAAGGCTTATATTCGACTGTTCCAACCAGATTTACTAGGAAACATGGGTGTTTGGGTGAGATTCTGACTGGAATCGAAACATTAGAGGAAATTCAACTTACATACAAGCTCATTTAGCTTCCCACCCAGTTCCTTCTTATCAATGTCGGATTGGTTGGTTGATGCCTGCTTTGCAGGTAGTCCATTCTTAGCAGAAACAGCTTGGATATCTTCGAATAGTGATCCATGTTGACAATAAAGTTGAAAAACCCGCGGCAATTGTGCCTTTTCACCAACCCACCGAACAATATCCTCATTGCTACTATGTTCTCGGCACCATCCTTCCCCTCCATTGTTACTACATGCAATGATATAGTAATCCATTCCTAACTGTTGACGATCACGTTCAAGCTATCATCAAAGTGAAAGAGCGTCAGATGTATTCAATTATGAACTGAACAAATATATGAGAAGACATACTTGTTGCGCTATCTTCTTAAAACTCAGGAGAGAACGTTTTTCCTCCTTGGCAGCAGAAGACGCAGATTTATTAAGCTCCCGATCCCTGTCCACTTTCTTCGTATTCACTAGTTTGTCGTAGATAGGCCGGTATCGAAGCTCATCTGCTTCACTGAGTTTGGGGACTTCAGGAATAAGAACGGCAGCATCGCTAGAGTCGTCGTCCGAGAAAGTGATGGCTGAATAATCAGGATAACCACCGAGAGCAAAGAACATCGGTGATTTGAACACGGCAAGTTCGTCTAAAGTGAGCGCGTCATAAGCACGTTTGTTGGCTTTATTGCGAGCTGCCAGAATGGCTGCTGAATTTGGGTCTCCTCGAGTTGGCACTGAAACATGAGACGATTAGACTTTTAGACAAGATTAGTGTAATTAAAGATACGTACTTGGTAGCTTGTTGGCATCCTTAGCAAAACTCAGCCACTTATGCCAAGGATTATCGGCATGTGTCGCACCAATAAGTCCCCTGAAGAGTAGTTTCTGTTAGTAAAGTTATAAATCTTGATGAACAAATAAAAAAAACTTACAAAGAACGTTTCAAAGTGAGGATGTTGATATGAGAAACCATTGCAATCATGTGAAGGGATATTTCTAAACGTTTTAGAACCGCCTTACCTTCAGCAATAACAGCTTCACTGATCTGGTGGTTGGACGATTTCTGACGATTGAGTTGGTCTGCAATGCGTCCGAGAGGCCAGTGTTTTATTACTTGGTGATAGTTTCGCAAATTGATCTCATGGACATCTAGATCTAATTCTGGTTCATCAGTAGGCGCAGATAGTGGTGGTTGGATTTGATTCGATCGAACTTGTGGTTGCTGAGAAGCTGCCGGTGTGGGTAAAAGATTCATATCTGTGTTGGCGGAAGCTGAAGAAGCATGTTGGTGTTGAGAAGTTGTGACAGCCGGTTGACGACGTGAGCGTTTAGCTGCAGGTAATGCTGAATTACCATCCGCGATGGCAGCGTTAGAACGTGTGGTTCGGCGAGTACTAGAAGGCATTGTGATCACTGATAAGAGATGGGTTATGCTGGGGATTTTTCGATTAGATGGATAAAATGTAGGGAATCAGACGGTCAGACCCCAATGAATTTCGTGTTTTGAAAAACACCATATGTACATCACACAACATATGTAGAGATCAACTCCGCGCGGCCGGACCAGGTCTTTGTTTTGTTTTTCTGACGCTGGCACTGCAAAAAGGACCATATCTTATCACTTGTTATCATATCCCTCCTTTACCATATCACTCCTTTGACATGGTTTGATTTCCTTGTGAAATCAAATAACCCTTGCACTCGATATCCACGTCTTCGCGTGTCCTGTGCAAGGTTTTTACCTCAAAGTATGGATATATTCACTTGCATCTACCATTATTCCATAAGTAAATCTTAAGTAGGTTCTATCAATGTTACAATCTTATGATCTAATTTGGCCTCTTGTCCTATAATCAGTGTAGATGGACTGTAAAGCGGGGGGAAATGCTTTTTAAAGAACAAAAAGGAAAGAAGGGTATGGCATATTTGGCAACAACTGATATTTAAACTTGGACGTGTATTTTAAGGCAGAAAAAAGAAGTGAGTGCCTTCTAAATGAAGATGATTTGTTGGAAATTCAAATTCATTGGAACATCCAAAGTATCTTTTGTTGTGGGTGTGAATCTTGCCAAAGTGGGAGCCAAAGATGATGTTTTTTAAGTGTATATTGAATGTAATGGAGGTGAGCTACATTGAAGATGACTATAGATGAGATCTGCGCCTCTCAGTCATGAACCCATCACTGAAGTAATTCGTGAGCTCATTCCTCCCATGTTCTTGTGCGTGTTTTATGTCAAAGCGGACCCAACGGTGATTGTTGTGAATGTTTGAGTGTAGATATGGAGGTGATGAAGGTGAGCTACGGTGAAGTTGAATAGAGATAAAATGTGCACCTATTATAGGAGATTTCATGACTATAAGTTTGACCTCAAGTGTCCAATCCTTCCATGCTGTTGTGCATGTTTTATGTCAAAGCGGGAGGCAAACATGGTAATTTGAGTCTTTGAACATGAATATAAGAGTGAAGCAGTGGTTGTATAAAAAAGTTGCATTATGAAGGTAGGTCTGAAATTTGATTTTGTCATCTGGGGGGGCTCTAGACTCAGTTATTTACATGTTTTGAGGGTTTTTGTGGGTGTTTCATGGCAGAGCGGGAGCTGAACATGGCATTGTGAGTTTTTGAGTGTAAATATGAGGTTGATGGAGTGGAAATATGAAAAAATGGTATTATCAGACTGGGTCTAAAATCCAATTTGGTCATATGTGGGAGGAGCAAACACCATTTTTCCCACTTCTTCAGGATGTTCAGAAAGTTTTTGTGTGCAAAAACATGTTGAAAGATAGCTTTACAAATGTTTGAGCATGAATATAAGAGTGAAGCAGTGGTTGTATGGGTGTGTTGAGAGACACCTCAGTTTGAAATTGGAATTTGTCATCTGGGGGGCCCAAACACCATATTTGCTGCATCTTATGTGCTTTACATACTAAAATACAGTAGTTTTATTCAAACTTAAGATGTCAGACTCAAACTTAAATGATCCCTATTTAAATTGCGCCTCCCCCTTTTCGCGCTAATACTCTTTTCCTTTATCCGTCTTCTTACGGAAAGGAAAAGAGTAAGTTCAACCCCTTCACTACATTATCATCAATAGTCTCTACTCTCCATTAGTTTGATCTTCAATATGACTGTTACTAATTATCATACTGTGATGTTATCTTTTTCTTTTTCATCTGAATCATTGTCGACGCTAGATCTTACTGAACTCATCGCGTCGACCCTTTTCCTTATTTTATATTGTGACCTGAACAAACCTTATAGGTCAGATACATAGTCAACTGGTCTATTCTTTCTATTCTCTTCATCTAACAAGTAGTGTCCTTTTTGTACTTGTCTATTTCTATCTTTTGTTCTATATAGGTTAGTGTTTCAGGTATTGTGACGAGAAGTGATTGAGACTCACTTCTAGAAACTGTCACGGGAATTCAGGTGAAATTAATCCGTCTTCTTACGGAAAGGAAAAGAATCTTACTGAACTCATCGCGTCGACCCTTTTCCTTATTTTATATTGTGACCTGAACAAACCTTATAGGTTAGTGTTTCAGGTATTGTGACGAGAAGTGATTGAGACTCACTTCTAGAAACTGTCACGGGAATTCAGGTTAGTGTTTCAGGTATTGTGACGAGAAGTGATTGAGACTCACTTCTAGAAACTGTCACGGGAATTCAGGTATCTCGACAAAGGAGATTTGTCGCTTTTCAGTACACAGCGTTCCTTTCAGCGTGGCAACGGGGAAATGATTACAACCTTGGTTGAGGAACATCAAGCTTCCCTAGGGGATGGATGGCCGCATAAGAAGAAAAAACCAAATTTACATTTTGTGGAACATATCGGCCATATCTCCACACTTCTTGGGCCTCCAGCTTACACAGCTAGCTGGTCTGGTGAGCGTATCATTGGAGCCCTTGTGCAGACCTCAAAGAATGGAAATCAAAGTGTGTTTGTTCTTAATTTTCACAAGTTTGATTGCAGCCACTGAGTAGAACAAGTGGGTGAGACTTTGCTCAAACAGCATTCAATGCGTGGATTTTTTCAAGCAATGATCCACAACAGCCATCCTGTGATTGAGGCTGACCCTATTATCAAAGAATACCTACAACAAAATCGCCGAACCAAGTGGACCACCAAAAAACTCAGTCCTCAAGCATTTGAGGCCCTTCAAACACTTGCGATTCTTGCGCCAGACAAGACTTCAGCATCCACATTTGATATCACTACAAGCCTTGTCATTTTGACCAAGCCACACAGTACATACAGTAAAAATCCTGGAAACAGCTACATATCATACTCTTTGGACTCATGCAACAGGGTTGGTAATATCACAGACATTGTCAAGCTTCCTGATGTCACTCAGCCAGTTCTAGTTGTGAGATCACTGAAGTCTCTCAATGCTGAAGACAAGCACAAGGACCCATATGATTCGTTGCCAAGATTACTTAATGCATCAGTTATATATGATTTGCATGAGGATTATCATGTTGTTCCATGTCACAAGGTGATTGGATAGCTTGTTGTACAACATAACACGGCAGGTACATTCGATATTGCTTGGCCAACACTTTCAATAGTACAACTCAATAATCTGGTGAGTTATCAAATCAGTCATTAGTTGAACATGTCCTCATGCAACATCCAACTTTGCAGGGCTTTGTGCAATAAATCAACCTGGAAGAGTATGCAATGGATATAGAATAACAATAAGTAGACAAATTTGTGTTGCGGTCTCAATCTCAAAGTTTTTCTTGAACACCTGTGATTCTTTTGTTAGATTTTTAAGTTTCATGTATGACCTATATTTATTTGGAGCTGGTCATGAATTTTATTTATCATCCGAGATACTTTGATGAGATCACTCCAAAGAAATTACAAGTTCCTGACATGTCACAGGTGAGTGGATAGGCAACACATGTATTACTTGGGGTCTCCACTGTTGGTTTCCACAACTCAGGTCACAAAAGTTGATAATAAGCATGCATTCATGAAAATGTAGAGCTCCACTTCTGTCACATGGCTTGTCATTAAGATTGTCAACCAGAGTCCATGATCTTTGAATAGAGAGCCTGAAAGGATACCACATGAGTATGAACTTGCCTGCATAGGAAACTTTCAGAATGTATCCAACCTACTTAGCAATCCAAAAGAAGCCACCGGAATATTCTGGAAGATCAATCTTCATATTTGGCTGTACTACTCAACTAGCCTCATGTGGATCTACCAGTATACGCAGCCAATGCATATCCCCCACTCAAAGCAAATTGGAAGTCAATCTGATATTGTTTTGGTATTGTTGATGAAATATTTTTGAAATTGTTTTGAGGTGAATGGGACTCACTGGCCTGCCAGTGCCTAGTAAAATGTCACTGTGATCTCGGAAGTGAGTTGTTGAGAGTAGGGTGTGGTGGATCACTCTGACATTCCAGGTCAACAGTACAATAATATTCGGTTGTCCTAACACTATCTCTGCATTGTAGTTTGGGAATTGCATATGGGAATTTTGATTAATCACCTGGTGAGGTACTCCTTCAGGAAGATGGATTGGAATTCCAGTGTTTTGATCGACAGTCCCAAAGAGACCAACAGTGTAGTCGGTCAAGTCCTTGCCGTTATGCGGCGCATTGACAAACTGGTCACAAGTCAAAACAAGACTACCACTGTAGGGAACACCATTGGGTTGGGTGAAAGGTGATGTTGAAGCAAAGGATGGGACATTCAGCGTTTCAGACATTTGAAGATTACATCCATAAAAGAGAGTACATTGTTGCATGAACAAGTTGCCAATAAATTGTTCAACTCTAGGTAAAAGATCTAATCAGGCATCGTCCTCTGCAATCAAAGTAGTGCTGCTACCGTGTGTTGAGTTCAAACAATATGGTGCTAGAATAAATTTGCAAAAAACATATAAGCAATCAAGACATATACAAAAGAAAAATATAAAACACATTGAAGACAAACCGGCCTTGGTTCCATCAGAAAGACCACCGGTGATTCCCATTGCGTACATCTCACCGCTCCTTTTGTTTTCCGGCAAAGCTACAAAAGCATGGTTCTTGAGCACAAGATTACGAGCAGTTGTGTGCTTGTGGACAATAGAGATAGTTTCTTTCAATTCATTGACAAACTCCTCAGGCTCTTTGTTCAGGTCAATAAATCTGACAGAAAAGACAACTTTGTGTGTCTCATTGTCCACCAAGGCCAAATTGCCTTCAGTGAAGAGAAGAGGAGAATTTGTCAGTTTGGGTCAATATCACAATTGGGGAGTTAGTGGGTTCATGTTACCTTCAGTGAAGAGATGAGGTTCAGTTTTTTTTAAAGTTTGGGACAACTTTACAATTTTAGTTTTACTGAATAAGCCGTTTTCACCCCGTATGGCATCATTGTCTTTGGCCCCTTTAGCGTTCCTATAGGCTTTGGCTCTTTCATTCTTGTAAGCTTTGTTGGAAACTGAATCAGACATACTATGGAAGAGGAACCAGTAAGAATCAGTATCAAGATAGAAAGCTAGAAACCCGGTTCTTGGAATCAAGTGGAATCAGAACTGTTGACTCCCCAACATTCTCCAAGGAAGGAATGGTCAACGGTAGCACGAGTGCTTGCCGTACACACCAGACTCATAGGGAATGGTTGACAGTAGCACGAGTGCTTGCCATACACACCAGACTCACATGGAGTGGTCGACAGTAGCACGAGTGCTTGCCGTACACACCAAACCCAGTCACTGCCAATCCATGAATACTGGTCAACAGTAGCACAAGTGCTTGCTGTACACACCAGATTCAGAAGGAGTACGAAGGGAAGCCAATAATAATGAAGCCAAGAGACGGCAAGATTGACAATGAAATGTTAAAATAGAGGAAAATGGTGTACTTTGGGTTTGATTTAGCCAAAAAATGGAGGGAGGAAGTGCAATTAGGACGGAGAATGAAGAGAATAGAACATTCCCTTTTAACTTGTCAGATATTCAATCGCACCATTGCTCCATTGGAGTGATGCAATAGTGGAATGAGTACTAATTTTTGATTCCACTATTGCTCAAGGTGAGTCCCGGCCCCGGAGCTCCATCCAGTACCTGTCGGAGCATCCATTGAGTCCGGTCCATGTAACCGGCGTTGGAAGTATCCGGCGCCGGTTACTCTGTCCGGTTCGGTAGTCAAACGTGGGGGTCAGAATATCCGGCGGATTTATTTTGTATTTGTTTTGCCATTTTATTAATTTTTTAATTTTTTATCGCCATACAGCTGGATATCCGGCAGATATTCGGCTCAAGTACCTGTTCCAGGAATGATAGTACAAAGATACGGCCGGCAAATCAAAAAATGTATGCATTTTTTTTAATTTTTTATTTTTTTGTCATTTTTTTCTTTTTTTTCTATTTTTTTTATTTTTTTTCGCCATACAGCCAGATATCCGGCGGATATTTGGCTCAAGTACCGGTTCCGGGAATGATAGTACAAAAAACCGGCCGGCAAATCAAAAAACGGATGCATTGTTTTCATTTTTTTATTTTTTTATTTTTTTGCCATACAGCCGGATATCCGGCGGTTAGCCGGTTCAAGTACCAGTCCCAGGAATTTCAGCAAAGAAAACCGGCCGGATACTCTCCGACGGCTGCGGATTTACCAGCAGTTCGGTTGCCGAATGGGCCAGAGTTTGCGAGATACTCATCGGATCACAGGTTGAACTATCACATCATTCCAATGGTGCGATGGTGCAATTGAATAGATTTGATCGCATCATCGACCAATTGATTCGATGATGCAATGATGCAATGGAGATCCATCGATTCAATTGATCAATCCACCTGTGGCCACTCGTCTCCTCGGATACTATCCGAAGAAAACGTTACATGTATCTTCGAATGGAGTCCGATATCTCCCTTGAGAGCCGGAGAGCTGCAGAGCCGCTGCTCTTCATTATCAAAAAAAGCAAAGTCCCCATTCCTTAAGGGGACCTTCACCATCCTATCACGACCAATGTACCAGTCACCAGCTCACCAGCTACCCGCACTGGTGAGCTTGTGTAAACTACCAAGCTGACCCCTCACCAGCTACCCCCACTGGTGAGCTTGTGTAAAATACAAAGCTGACCCCTCACCAGCCAATCGCACTCACTCCTCACCAGCTAACCCCACTGGTGAGCTCGTGTAAAATCCAAAACTGACCCCTCACCCCTCACCAGCTCATCAGCCCTTGTACATACATACCCACCCTAGGTACTTGTAAGCTCGGTACAATTCAAATCTCATCAACTCATCTGTTGAGTGCATCAGCCAGGCTACACTCAACACACCACAACTAACCATAACTTACACCATCAATCACACCATCCCAGTATCTCGCAAAGTATGCCACCAGAAACACGATCCAATGGTCAACCAGCCAAAACCAAGCAATCAAAACCGAAGAATCAGCGCAAGCGACATTGCAGGGAATCCTCTTCTGGTAGCGTGTCGTCTACTCACCAACAACTGTCTACAACCGAACTGATATCTTGGTCTGGTTGGGCTTTCTCCCAAATCAAACAGACAAAAATTCTGATACCGAGCCCAAGTGTGATTCTGAACCTGAATCTGAAGATGGAGAAGGACCGGTAGATCAAGAAGACAACGTTTTGATCAAGAAACTGGAAGCTGATGCTGTCCTTCCAACCTTGAATAACTACACCACAGTTGGAGAGGACTGGACAGATGCGTATCTTGAAAAACTTTTAGCCACTCAAAAGATTTGGTCCAATAATCGACCTTCTCAAGAAATTGTGTCTGAAGCTCTTGCCCTTCAATCAATCTTTCACCGTTCACTCAAGATGCTGAGTCTAGTTGGGCATATAAGCTATCCGACGTTAAAGGCTGCTCTGTAGGTTATTTATCAGCCCGCTATCAGATTTGACACTCAAGCCATGTAACTTTTCCATATTGATTCCGTTCTAGATTCATGGGTCCTTCACAGCGTCCTATAACCTCGTATGATGAATATCGAACGTACAGCAAGAAAACTACACAAGAATTAACTAGTAAGTTTTACCTATCTCTAAACCTCATCATTCACCAACAAACTGACCACTCTCCTATCAGTGCCCCCCCAAAACACATCACGTGGGTTTGTACCTCGCAACACCGCCGTTGGTAGATCATGGACAGGCCTACAGCCTCTTCAGAAGGCTGTTTTGCATCCACCGCTCTTCAAAAGACTCGCGCTGACTGTTCTACAGCCTCAAGACATTCAGTCAAGCTCTGTCATCAACATCCCAAGTGAAGAAGATCCCCACAACCCCTCTGACTTGACCCCGTACCTCAGTAACTTCAAAGAACTCGTCAACATGAAGAAAGTCGAGAAGCATTTTGAGCGTGGATGCCTAGGCGAGCGAAAAAGCCTACAAACAGAAAAGAAAGGACGGGTAGAAGCGGGCAAGGTTGTCAAACAAGTATGTATTTTATATCTTGTCTTCCATCTGAATACCACAACACTGACATTCATATTTTCTACTGTTTATCCTATCGTCCCCTCCATGTTGTCCTTTTGGTTTTCAAGCTTCACAATCTTCACAGCCAGTTCGACATCGAATTTCACTTGCTAGTAGCATCTTTCCATCCCAAGACCAAGCTCGCCAAGGCCCTATGGATGGAGGAATACACATCCTGCCCGAGATGGGCCGACTTGGTCAAATCAGAACATCACTTACTCGAGAACTTTGCAAAAGAGTCAACACAATGCCCGCGCGACGTCTTCAAGATTCCATCCAAAAAGCCACAACCAATCACAACACAAATTAAGCAACAGACTGTTTTGAGACAACAGCTCACCACAACTCTCAACAAACTCGTCGGTCAGTCACATTCAGCCCAATTCACACTTTTTTGTCATATGAAACCTGCACAACTATCTGACGTGTCTATCGATCGATCTGTAGAGGCACAACTCCCTTACACGCCTCGCCCAGGCATTGACATTCATCCCAAAGGACCTAATTCTGATGCTCAACTTGAACAGAAGAAGTTTCTACAAGACATACAACTCAAAGTGGCCCGAACTCCTGACTGTAAAGTCACTGATGCTATGCTTGCCAAGGGAGCAGCCCCTGGCAACATGACTATGGGCCACGTTTGATTGTGGCTTGAAGAGATCAAAGCCAAACGTTATACAGTGGTTCTCAAAAATAGTGATTAGATTCTCCTTCAGTCGATTGTTTCTCAATCACTCTGACTCCCAAATATTTTTAATTGTAATCACTTGTCTTGCAAACGGTTTTTGTCATTCATTGGATCACATTGATCAAGAAAGATCCAAATGTTGAGTGAGCCCCGTTTCAAAAAATATGCCCATCAGCCGCCAGATGTTTTAGCTTTTTATATGTAGGTAGGAATCTCTTTATCTTTAACATTATCTCAAGTTCTTAGTCCATCTTGAGCGTAAGGAACTCTAGTTCGGCTATATGTGCAACTCAAAAAACAACAAAATATACGTGTATTATTAAAAGTGATTATACTTTTGTGATACTATGTGCTATTTATTTGAAAATATCTAATTCGTATGATGATTCGAAAACAAAATGTTTGTAATCATGTATGTATTGTAGTTTGACGGTAGGTTGACGTGCCGTGCCGCAGCTATAGCCAAGCCCATCATCAAATTCATTTGAAGTCCACCATCGGACCACGACAATCGGACAACGGTCCACAACCGCGGGAAACGTCAAGCTCACCAGCCCACCACCTTCAAACTCTTACACAAATCGTCGATTCGACTATAAACCTTTCTCACAACCTCGCCAGCCCACCAACTCACGTTCCTTATACCCAACTTGTTGATACAACTATCAACAGCTTTTCACCTCACCAGCCCTTTCCTTGTCGTCAATACCATGGTTCCCGCTCCCTACCCCTTATGGAATGTCTTTCCGGCCCCACCTGAGGTTGATATTAAAGGTGATCGTAAAAAGATGGATGATTACGTTAAAGACTTTGTTCTATCACACGGCTATAAGATCTCCATACGACACTCTTCAACTGATAAATGCAACATCTGCCACTATCACTGTCATCGAGGTGGTCTACCTCACAAACCAAAGCCCAATACCTCCACCACTTCATCCATTACCACCGATGAGAAACCCTCACGAGCGAGTAGATCGATCAAAATTCAATGTCCTTTTCATCTCACCGCCAAGTACAATCCAACGACCGATGTTTGGCGCCTTACTCATGTCCAAATAGGCCACAACCATGAAGCAATGTCAGATGAAACACCAGTCGTACGTAAACTTGCTTTCAAAATCTACTTCCTTCAATATCTTCAAATTGCTTGACACTCATTTGTGACTTCTGTACACAGGTCAATCATAATCCTTACCCGCCAGAAATCATCAGCCGAGCATCGCGCATCGTTGAGCTATCACCAAGAAAACAGGGCCTGATCTTGCAAGAGTTAGATTCGCTGTTGGATCAGTACACTACATCTGCCATGCGCACAAACATTGTAAGTACCCCACTTACATCGCACAACTCTGTATGAACCTTACAGAGTTACACTGGTGGGTCCCTCTCAGATCAAAACCGATGATGAGGCACATATGAGCACTCAGAACAAAGAAACGATTGAAATCGTAAGTAAACCATCTCTCACGTTTCAACACTATCCCCGTTGTGACTTTGTAATTATGTGTATCCAGTGCGTTGTGAATGATACCGTTATGGAGGACAATAACATTGTCATCAATCCGGGCAAAGTCTTACCAACTGAGGTGTCCAAGAGCTCTAACACTTCAGGGCAAAAATCGAATGACGATAACGAGCTGTCATCAGCCGAAGCACTTGAAGATGGAATCCCAGATTCCGTTTCCGCTAAAGATGTGAGTATTGGTCACTTATTCCTTGTTCTTTGGATGACTGATTGGCTGAGTTTATCAGAGTCAACGAGGCGGTTCAAAGGCAAAGCGCGCTGCGCCTGCTGACAAGCTGTCGGATGTCAAGAAAGCTGGCGTTGGAACCATCAAAAAGTCAAAGACGAAAAGTCACTCGAAGAAAGTGCCACTTGCTACGGCCCCATGCACGCGGTCGAGCAGGCGTAGCACTCGTCGAGTCCCTTGAGTAGCAGTTACATTCCAATTTCTTTCAAATCTGCTTACATTTATATGTTACATTTACATTTCAATCAACTTGTCGACTTTTAAGTTTTGGTAGAAGAATATGTATATTCTTCTGTATGTCCATTAATCAACTTGTTGAGTTTTAAGTTTTGATGTATGTTTGGACTCTGAGGATCTGTATATTCTTCTATATGTCCATTCTTGTAGTTTCTTAAACGTTGTCGAGCTTGGAAAATATATAGTTTTAGTTATTACAAATGTTGTCCGAGTTGCAAAAACAATTAGTTTTAGTTTTTAATTGCATCTATACTCTTGCAGTGATCCGAGTTGCAAAAACAATTAGTTTTAGTTTTTGATTGCATCTATGCTCTTGCAGTGACAAGCTTGAATAGAGCCATGAAAACAAAAGATGTTGATGAGTTGTATTGAACAAAGGACAGTGCCAAGTTCATAGTCATATCTACATTCTTTGGAATTACAATTGACTTGTTGAGTGTTGAAGAATGGCATCATGAAAATAATCAAGTCAATATATCACTCTACATCCTTCCCAATCAACTTGGAAAGAATGAAGTCGTGAACATCAGTAAGTCAATAAGTGAGTTGTAAACAAACATATTATAGTTTCAAGTTCAGTGGTAGATATGAGCTTTCTAAGTGTATACTCTCATACTTTTCTCTTTGTGATAGCAAGAGTAAGTGTGCAAAGAATTGATGTTGTCAACATTGACAACAGCCTCTTTCATTATAAACTTTATGTTGACAATCAACAGTTTGAATGCTGAAGATTGTGAGCACTTTTCAATTAAGGAAGGACAATCAAGGAGCTTGTTTACAATCAAAAGCATGAGTGCTTGATGATTGTGAGCGCGTTCAATAAAGGAGATTGTTGACAATCAAAAGTTTGAAAGATCGATGATTGTAAGTACTTTTATTGTTCTCATTCAAGGACATTGTTGATACAATTCAATAATGTAACCAGTGATACAATCATTAGCGGACATTCATATATTCTCATCTTGAACAATGGATCATTGTTAGATTCATCCTGAACAACGATGATGGATTATAATTTTGTGTGACTTCTTTAGGTCTCACCAAGTGAGATCACAGGTATTGTGATTCATATATTCTCATTTTGAATACTGGATCAGTTGCATTGTTGGATTCATCCTGAACAAGGATGAAGGATTATTATTTTGTAATCTCATTTGCTCTCACCAAGTTTTACAATGACACCAACCATGTTGGGTCTCAATCTGTTGTTACAATCTGTCTTTGCAAGGCAATTTCAAGAAGTCCAATCAAAGCGTCTCCACTAGGATCTCTACCTTGAGCATCTTAAATATACACATCATCTCATCTTGACTGGTGTTTATATGAGTGGTACATATTGAGGTCAACTTACATTGTATTCACTCAAGTCAATGTTGATAGGTCAAGAGCTTTGTGCAGGTTTATTCCATTGATCTAGCTCAGCTGGTCCTCACAATCAATATTATAATGATAACCTTGATATCTTGCGACATTCAGATATCACTTTCTTGGATGAACATAATGGACATTCTGGTCCACGTTGTTTATGAACAAACAGTAGGGCTCAGTGTCCATTGGTGTTAATATGTCAGTGTCTGTCCATCCGTGTTCTTCACAACATAACATGAATCACTATAGTGAGAATTATAGTCTGTATAATTTTCCACACACATAATCCAAGAGAATCAAGAAGAGACGAGCAACCATCACCCATCACCAATTCTCAGACCAATTCTAAGTAAGCATAAATCTTTGTTCAACTGAAGTTTTCAATTACTCTGAACAACAGTACTTACTAATAAGTTACAAGGCAGGGAAGTTATAAGAGAAGACAGACAGCTAATGCTGAAGACATGCATAGTTACTTGTGCAATATTAATATTTGCTGGAACATCAAATACTGTTCAAAATTCCACTTCTTGACAGTTCTAGCATTCAAAATTTAACAACATTCAGTTTGTTGCAGTTATCATAAAACTCCGGCATGGTGGTGTCAAAAGGTATATTGAGTATTGAAAATGCAGCATCCACCTTTTTGCTTTTTCTTTTTTTGCAATGTGGCATCTGGAATCACAATAATTCCACTTTGCTTTATGTCCAGTCTTGAATAGAATATGCAAATTATGTGATGGCAACAAGGTTGGCACCTGAGTTAATGTTATTTACGTGCTCATGCTCAGAAATCAATATTGATGTTGTCTTATGTTGCATGTCAACAAATAGTAAGTCCCTCTCAACCTTCCGCATTGGATCTGTCTTATGATGCATGTCAACAACTAGTACCTAAGTCCTTCTCAACCAACACTACTACATGTGATAATGTCCCAATCAGGACACAAACCTTTCTTAGACTCGATCTGAAGATGTGAAAAAAAACCAATACAGATGAGACATCAATAGGAGATATAGGTGGGATTTTCCAGACAAAGCACCAACCTCTGACATACCAATTACATTCAGGATATCTTCACTTCTTCAACCCAAAACTTATGGCCGGCAAAAGAAAAGTCCTGTCTTTCAAGGCCCTTGGAAAGTTGCCGAAAACCGCTACATAGCTTCAACAAAAGGTCCACGCTCGCAGAATAGCCGAACTGAAGGAACTCAAGCGTCGAGCACCTACTAGTACTGAGAACGTGGTCCGTTCAGCTGGCCCATCATCAGCCCCTATTATACAAGATAACACTCAAGGAGATGATAACTTACCTGAAGAAGGAGATCTGAACAATCCACACCATCAGCCAACTGATGAGAACGGGATGGGATGGTTCGACATGGATGAAGATCCCCTGGTAAGGATGCTCAACGCATCTGCTTCTCAAGCTCGAAGGCTTCAGCAAGAGCAGCGTTGGATTCGACAATACGAGGTGAACCTACCTTTGTTTTTGGAAAGTCGTGATCGCACTTCAAACTGGGGTAATCCAAATGAAGCATTTCGTGATGTTAAACCACCATGCAGTTGTCGGGGAAAGAATCGGCGAGTGCGAATGGTGGATTTACTGGATACTGGATGTAAGATCCCATTTTTCCCTTCTGACTCGGCTTAGTAGATGTAGACATTGAAATTACACTTTGACTAGCACGATGTCAGCAAGCCGTTGATTTCTGTACTTGTCAGAGTGATCAAGGACGTTTGTTACAGATGGGCTATATGGGAGCTTCACCAGTTCATCCCAAAACTGCATTTAGTTTGGGTTTTCTTCGAATGCATCATATTATCTGGAAACACTGCGTTGTTAGGACTGACCCCTTTGCACGTGCTCTTGACGAGTGGTTGGATGCGTACTGGTCACCCATCACAAGTAAATCCGGCCGAGTGAGTGATCACTTTAGTCTTTACTTACTTGATGAATATCTATCTCATCCTATATTACTTTATTTTCATCTAGCGCCGAGACTGGCGAAAGCCTCTATGTTCAGCAGCAGACGCTTATCGCAGGCTTATCACAGCAGTTCGCCGAAAGGAAATGGCTCTTTTGAAACTCACCGAGTTGGAGAAACTGGCGGCAAACTGCCCACGCTGCTTTGGACCCCCTACACCTGATGCCAAAACTACCGAGGATGAGCCCGACTTTATAGTTTGCTGTGATGGTAATTTTCAACAGCGACGACATCTGGCGGCAAGTGTGCCTATTCCTGGATTCAATCCAGAACCTCCAGAGCTCTTCATGCAGCCTTCGCGTGTTGAACTGATGGCTGAGCAGATACGTAGTGTTTGGCCTGACAAAAAAGATGAACCAGTGGTATGCTATTCTCGACATTCCACTCTCAAATTGCATTTCTGAATGATGGTTTGAATCGTAGGACCCTTGTACAGCACAGCACACGGCGGCTGATGACGTCTGCAATAAAAGTCACTGGAGCGGCAATGATGATACAGGTTTGGTGGGCTTAGCGTGTCGCCATGACCATGTGCTTAAATTCATAAATTTGGTGCAAAGTGGTGAGAAGTGGGTTTACATATTGAACTTGTCTACTATTCTCAACTAATCTTTTTGTATTCCATCATTTTATTTCTATAGGAGTCACTATGCTCTGGCGCTGGTTGATTGGGTGCTTGAAGTCACAGACAATCGAGGATTGGGGGCAAATAAAGTAGCTATGCTCTACGACATTGGCTGTAATATAGAGAAAGGTATCCTCAAGGTAGTGTTTTGTTCTCCTATATAGTTACAAATCAATTTTTTTTCTCTGTCTCTGATTATTTATTTGATCAACCTAGCGGAAACAATTTGCTAAAGCAAGATCTGAAGGCCGTCTTAAGTTTGGAACTAGTGTCTTCCATGCGTACGTACATGAGTGGTTATGTCAACTGGCCTATAACCCACGACTTGTCGCCGGATGGGGCCTTTCAGATGGCGAGGGTCTTGAAAGGATTTGGTCGTTTTTATCGCCATTGATTGCACCACTGCGCTACTCCACGAGTCAGCATCGACTCGAAAGTCTCAACCTCCGATCTCTTCATCTTAATGATCGAAATCGTTATCAAGCAGGTTGGTGACAACTCTAAGTACTCAAGTAAATATCAAACTAATAGTGTGATCTATTTTTGATGCGGTGAAGTGGAGTCTATGGTATCACACTTGAAGAGGCTCAGATCACCTTGGACACGCTACTGACGCAGCACAGTTATGTCACTGTAGAGTATGTCAGTCTTCAATGGGATCGGCAGAGACGCGCACAGATGGATGTGATTAGTATGACAGCGAAGGAAAAGAAGAAAAAGATAGCTGAGTTGCTTGAGTTGGAGGAGAACCTTATAGAAGCCCGGTTGGTGTGACTTACCATTTACGTTGTGACGTGGATCAAAACACTGATAGCTTTGCTTCCCATTCTCTCTTTTCTATCAGCGAGGACCTTTGAAAGTTGAAGCTGAAGCGGGTCAAAGCACGAACCGGACGTGAGAAGCAGGAGCTTTTGAACTTGCCAAAATACCTAGTTTGGCTGGAGACTCAGATTCATAACGCGGCGGCCGAACTAGGATCAGAAGAATTTAGGGAGCTCACAGGCGTTACAGGTAGTGTGGTCAAGAATTGAACTCAATTGACACAACTCGTTCCTTTGTTTTAATGGCACTTTACACTTTGCTAATGTACATTTTATCACTCTTGCCTGACCAGACGACAGAGCAAAGCACTTACTAGCCCTGCAGGTAGCTAAAGGGAAGCTCTATGAGGCGAAGGTGGGTGTCATCGAAGCTCGACGTCGTTCAGAGCGGACTGGTGGTTAGCATTTTAGATCTTCTCCGTGCAACTAACTTGATTGCTTACGTGTGTTCCGACGATGAAACAGGGACCACTAGCCAGGGTCGGTTGAATTATATCAAGTCCCATAAGAGCAAACTGTTCAAAACTAAATACAACTCGTATCACCGACGAGTAAGCGGCTACAACGATCGTTTCCAACCTGAACCACTCCTAGATGACCCGTCTCTAGCTGAAGTCGAAAGAATGGAGATATCTGATTTGTTTTGGGCTGGTGGCTCAACCCTGAGTCATCCAGAAGAGCCTTGGGCTAACGACTTACCAACCCGAGAGGGTATACAAGCTTTCTTGTCTTGTCGCTCAGCAGAGGAGGAGATGTGTTGTATCTCTCGCGAGGCACGACAGCTAAGCCAGTGGGCCTTAGAGTACCAATCAAAAGTTGATTTGGTTGACCCTGGCGCTGTTGATGGCACAGGTTGGTCGTTTTTGTACTCTTTTCCATTGTGGATTAAACTAATTAACATCTCTAAATTGTGTTGTATAGATGTGTCTGGTGTGATTCAAAAATCTCTCTACGCAGGGCTAGCATCTGAAACACGTCGCCTTTGGTACAATTGGAACTTTGATTTAATTGATGTCATCAGATCAACCGCTGTCCATCTTCCTAGCCCTCTGAGATTAGCGCATGATCAAGAAATTGTAGGGCAATGGAAAGATCTTATGGAAATCAAGTTTGGACATTGGGAACACACGCTAGTAAGGATAGCCGTTCCAGATTTGTCAGATATATATTCTCAAATGGAAGCAGAGGTAGAGGAGGAGGAGTTGCTTGCTCCTGAAGACTTTGATATGGGAGAGGATGACGATGCATTGACCTGTATATATTTGATTTATACACATTAGAAAAAGGTACAGGCGCAAGTGGTGAAAACAAAAGAAGTAAGAGCACAAAAGATGAAGCTCGTTTTTTTTGTGTTAGAATAGCAACAGCGCATTGAACAAAGAGGGCTTAAAAAAATGAGACGCTACTGGAGGGATCGTGATATACCAATCCCATGACCGCAAATCAATATAAATAATCAGTGCCAATCTCTGAGATAAAACCAATCCATTATTCAATTAGAACCATGACCTTGCTCAGAAATCCTTCCACCAAAACAAACTCACCTTTTGGCTTTTCAAAAGACCTTCTGAAAGCATCATTGAGTCATATTATCATCTCTTATGTCGGACTTCATGCTTTCTGCAGACCTTAAAGACAGACTGATATCATCAATGGCTGAGTTGATGTCTACTGGTTCGTCGGCGTTCAAATCCAACTCGGCAATGACCAATCCCTCTTGAGATTTGATCCAGGTTGGAGAGATCAATGAACTTTGGAAACCTTTAGGCGGAAAGCGTTCAGTGTCAGCCTCAGGGGCATATGGACCGCGGTCCACCAAAGCAGCAGCAGCTCGTCTTTCTTTGGGAAAGATTTTCTTGCGACTCTTGTGGGCTTTGTCAAGCAAGCCAATGAAAGTATCGAGTTTGGTGCTTCTCCACTGGAGACGTTTTTTTTTGCGACCGACTGACGAGCCTGAGGACATGATTTCGTCTTCGGAATGAATCTCCATATGATCCACCATTGCATACTCGCTAGAATCTTTGCCAAAGTACCTAACCACAACAGCCTTGCGGGCGTCTACAATCTTTTTGAACAATCTTCAATATCAGCAATGCAATCAGCTGAACATCAAAAGGTAAATCAAAGACCCAGCTGACCTTGATTAGCATTCGTCTTTTCCTAGCAATACCTTTGACAATAGCCTCTTGTTCCTGAACCTGTTTTACACCCTCTGGTGTTTTCATCAAATCTACCAGCTTTTCCTGATCCTTGTATTTCTGTTTTTTGTTGCCAACCCAGCGTCGAAGAATTTGCTCCCGATTTTCAGCAGTGTTTTCCGAAGTGAGAATCCCAAAACCTTTTGCTGCATTCGCGTTGAAGGCCTTAACCCAATTTGCCAGAATGATGCTTGAAGTTGCTGAGTTCCAGGGCGTGTCGTACGAAGCCCCCCAATCAAAAGTACAGCGAGGGAAACCTGCCAAAGCCAGGTCTGCCTCGCATTGCGAGCCAAAGTGATGTGGATAACGTGAGATACCACCGGATGCCATTCTCAAACGGAACACCACTGGTCTCATAGCTCCTTTAAGCGCGGCTTCTTCACAAGCGTCGTCCTTGATCATTTTACGTTGTTTTCGATTGGGTTGGAAACCGGCTGCTTTCTTTGCGAGGTATTTTTTCATTGCTTTGTCCTGAGTATCCCTGATAAGTTGTTTGAGAGACTGTTTACGAGTGCTCCAAGCCAGTCGTTCTTCTTCGGTAGGCGGTTCTGGCAGCAAATCTTCTTTCTTTGCACCACCTCTTGCCTTCCAAGGAATCCCCATCACCATCTTGGCAAACTGCTGTATCGCTCGTGCCAGAGCCGTTGCCGCTTGAGGGGTTGCATGTGCTTGAGCCGCCTTACCAATCGCCGTGTTACGATGTCAATCTTCAGTGAGTTCTTTTCGCATTTTTCTCTTTCTTTCCTTTCTTTCCATTAGGTCTTCGTGAGTTAGTTCGCCTTCTACATGCCCACAGAGAATGTTTGTTAGCGTCTTATTATGAATCTAGTAGGTACACCACCTTACACCTTCTACAAATAGACATAGCTTACCTGAGGCTTCATCTGAGTTGTCATCATCGTCCACACGCTCATCACGGTCTCCTGCAACAGTAAAATTACCAGCCATTAAACACCTTTTCTCTCTTTTGCATCCAAAAACCTGTTGTCAACCACTAGACAACTCACTGGTGCCTGTCCCTTGATGATCATCGTCACGTCTCCTTTTTCCACCCGTCAATCCACTAGACGTCGAGCCCTGAGTTTGTGTTGGTGCCGAGCTCATTCTGATATGG